TGGATTGACATGGTGACTGCCTCAGTGGACTCTGGTGTATCAGGAAATAAAAGAACTGCACAGGATAGAACAGGGCTCAGATCTTTTGCTTATAGGGTCACTGTGAGTCTTTCTTTTCTTGATGGCACCTAACAATAACAACAACATTATGAGCCCCACAGTCAAATAGTTAGCTTTTCCATAGTAAAAGCTAACAGAAATAGACATTCTTCTCATGTTCTCTACTTTTCAGCCAAGATCCATATGACATCAGAATGATATCCCTGGTGTCATGACTTCTTCTAAATCTGTCCTGTACTTCTGGGAGTTTTAGTGTTGAGCTGCTTTGGGATAATCTTCAGCAATATTTTTCTTGCATGTGATATTACTGATGTTCTATAATTTCCATGTTCTGGTGAATCACCTTTCTTGGGAATGGGAACAAATACCATCTTTCCTACTCATTTGACTAGATAGGTGTCTTCCAAATTTCCACACACAAAGTAGTGAGCATGTCTAAGGTGGCATCTCCTATTTGGAATATGTCAATTCATATCCTATTGATTGCTGAGACCTTATTTTTTGCCAGTGCCTTCAATGCAGCTTGAACTTTTCCTCTCATCATTATTGACTTTTGATCAGATGGTACTTTTTGAACTATTTCAGTATTGATCGGTTCTTTAATCTGTGTCACTGTACAGAATTGAGGAAATTGATTATTTCTACTGACTTTTGAGGTCTGATATTAACCTACATTGTAGTTAAGATACATTTATAATAATTGGTAACTGGAATGTAAAAGTTGGAAACAAAGTAGAAGGATTGGTTGTTGGAAATTATGGACTTGCAGAGAGAAATGACACCAGAGATCGAATGATTTAATTTCGTACACTCATAAAAAATATTAAGAAAAACAGATGGTGACGAAATACATGGACTTCACCTGATGGACTTACACTGGAATCAGATTGAGTACATCTGTGGAAAGCAGTACTGGAGGAGCTCAATATTAGCAGTCAAAACCAGGCCAGGTACTGAGTGTAGAATAGACCATCAATTACTCACGTGCAAGTTCAAATTGAAGAAAATGAAAACAAGTCCACAAGAGCCAAAATATGACTTTGAGTCTGTCCTATCTGAATTTAAAAAGCATCTTAAAACCCAAGTTTGAGGCATTGAACATTAAGGGTCAGAGAACAGATGAATTGTGGGATAGCAAAGATGTCATCTGTGAAGAAAATAAAAGGTCTTTATAGAGACAGAAGAGAAAGAAAATACCAAAACAGATGTCAGAAGAGACTGAAAATTGCTCTAGAGTGTTGAGAAGCCAAAATAAGAGAGATGCTGAAGTACAAGAGATGAACAGAACATTTCAAAGGGCTGCTTGTAGCTTGAAGAGAGAAGGTATTATAATGGAATGTTCAAAGAGCTAGAATTAGAGAATGAAAAAGGGTAACTCACTCAACATTGCTCAGATGGAAAGAACAGAAAACAAATTCAAGCCTTAAGTTGCAGTACTTGCTATGGGCAATGCTTTCTGTAGGAAAGATGCAGTGTGCAAAATCTTGAATGATCTAGGAAGCATAAAAAAATTATTAGATACTGTCAAGTTGAGTATGACTTACCACAATCCTATACATAATAGATCTGAACCCCACCCTATCCTGTGCTAACCTCTCAATTTCTGACACAGTCAAACCCATTGCAGCAGACAGTGTGTCAGTCCATCTGATTGAGGAGTCTTCCTCTTCTTCCCTGTTCTGTCCAAGCATGATAAATCTTCTCCAAGGAATAGCCTCTCCTAGTAACATGCCCCAAGTATGTAAAGTGAAGCTTCACCATCCTTGCTTCTAAGGAGCTATCTGGCTTCACCCTCTCTAAGACAGGCAGTCAGTGGGATATTCATTTCTCTCCCCAACACCACAACTCAAAGGCAAGAATTTTTCTTCTGTCACCTATCCTTCTTTATTCATTGTCCACCTCATAGATACATAGCAGATGGTTGAAAAGACCATGATCTGAATCAGGTACACCTTAATTCTCAAATTAACATCATTGCTCCTTAGTAATTTGAAGAGATGCCTGACTGCAGGTTTTCCCAGTGCAGTATTTCTACTGATCTGACTATTGGTGCCAAATATATTTACACTTGGGTGTAAATAAAAATACACTTGAGTGAGTGAATAAAAGGAAAGAACTCAGCATTTCTCAAGCTGAAAGCACTGAAAAATTCAAACCTTCAGTTGCAGTACTTACGATGATATGAACAAAATAATTTTGGAATGATCCGGGAGGTATCATAATAAAATGGAAGGAATATACAGAATCACTGTACGAAAAAGAATTGGCTGACACTGAAATATTTCAGGAAATACCACACTATAAAGAGCCGATGGTAATGAAGGAAAAAGCCATTGCAAAGTAGATCAGGTGAGGGAGAGGGAGGGAAAAAAGTGCAACAATGAATGAATAAAAATATTATTAAAAAACCCCACAACTAACAAAAAATTGCAACCAACCAGAAAAAAGAAGGAAGAAAAAGTTGAATCTGCACTGGAGGCATTGGCAAAAATAAAGGCCCCAGGAACCAATGGGATACCAGTTACTTGTTTCAAATGACAGATGCAACCCAGAATACACTCACCAATCTATGCCAGGAAATTTGGAAGACAGCAGCCTGGCCAACTGACTGGAAGAGGTATATATTTGTTCCCATTTACAAGAAAAGTGATCCAACATAATATGGAAATTATAGAACAATATGATTAATATCACTTAGAAGCAGAATGCTAAAAGATCATTCAAAGACACCTAGAATAGTACATAGACAGAACTGCCAGAAGTTCAAGCTGTGTCAAAAAAAGATGGAGGGGATACATGGAGTCACTGTACAAAAAAGAACTTTGAGGTTAGGGAAGATGATTGATGTTATTAACTAGTGATCTAATTTAGTTGAGAGGTGGTAGGAAGTGTCTGCTTGGTGGTTGTGATTTTCAGCATTTTTTTTTTTTTAAAGAAATTTCTACTAGTTTATTTACAAAATTTGAATATATTGTTTTTAAGAACAAATTCTTTCAATTACCCTCACCTCACCCCCATCAAATTGTACAACACCATTATCAGTCCTCCCTTCCCCTGCACAGCCTCATGCCTCTGCTTCCAGCCTCTCCTACCCCTCTTGAATCCTTATATTAATTCTACAGTAGTGGTTTTATATAATATTTATCTTGTGGGACTGAATTCACTCAGCGTAATGCTCTCCAGTCCCTCCCAAATTAGGTAATAATTTACAAAATCATTGCTCTTGCATGCTACATAATATTCCATAGTGTGAATGTATCATAATTTCTCAATCCATTCGTTTGTGTTTGGGCTCTTTCCATGTTCTTGCGATGGTGAATAATACTGCTATAAACATTGGTGTACAAATTTGTATTTGTGCCTCATTTCTCATTTTCTCAGGATGTATTCCAAGTAGTAGAATAGCTGGGTCATAGGGAATTTCTGTGTTCAGCTTTTTGAGGAAGCACCAAACTGTCTTCCAGAGTGGTTGTACCATTTTACAATCCCAACAACAAGGTATAAAAGTTCCTTTCTCTCCACATCCTCTCCAACATTTATTACTTGCTGCCCTGTTAAACTTTGCCACTGTTACCAGAGTGAGATGGTATCTCATTGTGGTTTTGATTTGCATCTCTCTTATTGCCAATGATTTGGAGCATTTCTTCATGTGTCTGTTGGTCATTCAGATATTTTTCTCTGGAAAATTCTTTCTATGTCTTTTGCCCATTTTGTAATTTATCAGTCTTTTTTTTTTTTCCTTTGGAGGCCCAGGATTATTCTGTAAACTTTTGTTATAAGACTCTTGTCTGAAATGGTATTACCAAATGTTTGTTGCCAGTCCGTAGGTTTTCTTTTCACCCTGTTGGAAAAAGTTTTTGATACACACATGGATTTAATCTTTAGAAGGTCCCATGCATCAGTTTTAGCCTCTTTAGATTGTGTGTTTCTGGTTGTATTTGGCAGTCTCTTTAAACTTGGACTAGAGTTTCTAAGCTTGATCCTAGTTTGTCTCTTACGAACGTTATGGTTTTGGGCTTTACTCCAAGGTCACTGATCCACTTTTAGTTGATTTTTATGTATGGTGTGAAATGTGGATCCTGTTTTATTTTTCTGCTTGTGGAAGTCCATTTTTGCCAGCACCATTTGATGAAGAAGTTATCATTTTCCCATTTGATAGCTTTGATTTCCTTATCAAATATCAGTTGACCATATTAAGCTGGGTCTTTTTCTGGGTTCTCAATTTTGTTCCTTTGGTCTATGTGCCTGTCATTTTACCAGTACCATACTGAGGTTAGGTAGTGCTATATCTCCAACATCATTTTTGTTTCTTAGAAGTGTTTGGCTTAATTTCCAGCATTCTTTGGGTTAGCAGTGCAGCTCTCTGCCCACTAGTTAAATCTAATCTGAGGTTTAATAATTTCTGTTTCTTTGTCTAAAGCCTAAATTCCTGGGAGCTAAGTTGTCTTTCTTTTTTCTTTACTTTCTTATAGATTTATTTTTGAATTTCATGATTTTAGTGTTTACCAAAATTTGCAGGTATTTTGAAATAAGAAGTGTCTCCATACAGGCCTTTGTTTATTTCTGATTATGTTGTTAGATACCATTGAGTCAGCTGTGACTCATAGCACCCGTGTGAACACTGGATCATAATTCTTCCATATTCTGTGCCATCCTGATCATTTCTGCCCACTTGAACCTATTGTTATAGTCACTGTGTCAGTCCATCTCAGTGAGGGTCTTCCCCTTCATCAGTGACCAACCCTCCACTTTCCCAAGGATGATGTCCTAAATGAAAGAACCAAAAGATCTACTTTATATCAGATAGACCAAATTATAGCTATCAATTTATGTACTTGTCCTTATTATCAACTGTTCTAAAGCACTGTGTTCATCCTTTCCACGTTAACTTTAAATTCATGTTTCTGATACTTATATTTGAATTATTCCTTGTATTTTAGGTAAAATTTGGTAATACCACCTTTAAAACAGATGTATACCATAAGTCGCTTAACCCTCAGTGGAACTCGGAATGGTTTAAATTTGAGGTAAGTTTTTATTTTCTTTTATTATTATTAAATTTTATTAGTTTTAATGAACATTTACATGAGGTAAGTTTTTAAATGTCAGCATTAAAAATACTATTTTTGGTGAAAATATACACAACAGAAATATATAAGCTCAGCAGTTGTTGCATGTATAGTTCAGTGACATTAATTACATTCAAAATGTTGTACAGCCATTCTCACTATTCATTTCTACACTGGCCCTTTATCTCCACAGCCAACCTTTTGAGTTGTCAGTTACATATAGATAACTTAAAGGAGCACAGTAGCACAGTGCTAAATGCAAGCATTCTTCACTGTTGTTGTTAAGTGCCCTTGAGTCGCAGGCGACTCATAGTGACCCTATGAAGAAGAGTCCTTGACGCTTGGGTGCCTTTCATCCTCTCTCCAGGTTCATTGGGTTTCCAGAGGCAAGCTATTATGGAAGTGGATGTCACTCCTTCCAAGCTTGTTTTAATTGGGGAGCTCCACCCGACTCTCTGTCCTCATTGTGTAGCCAACCATTAACGCATTTGACACATCAGTGTCACAGTGTTCAGCCTCACAGCAACCAAAAGTGAACACGGTGTGGCAACTTGTACACCAGGGCTATATGACCTAGAGGAATGTCTGAACAAAAACAATGAAAGACAGGCCTGAGGGCAGCGGATTAAAAGCCACCCACCTTTGGCTTGGTAGCATCGCTTTTTGTCCTCTGGGCCAGCTGATCTCTCTGTCTATGTTGATATTATTGTTGTTAAGTGCCTTCAAGTCGCAGGCGACTCATAGCAACCCTATGAAGGAGTCCGCTATGCTTGGGTGCCTTTCATCCTCTCTCCAGGTTTATAGGGTTTCCGGAGGCAAGGTAAATTGGGATAATTTTGGTTTAAAGATTATCTCAGAGAAATAGTTTCAATTTCATTGGCTCTAGAAAGTCTCAATTCCCAGAGATTTTGAAATTTTGTCACATTTTCCCTTTTTGTGATCAAGATTCTTCCATAAATCTTAGCATTTTTTGAGTTTATATAGATTAACAGTTTTTTCCCCAGAGATGTTAAGACTGACTATATCTCAGAAACAGCAAACATTTAAAACTTTTAAGAAGGATCCTACTAATTTATGTATTTTGTGATTTGACATGGGCTATTTTAACTCTGTTTTTCATTCTTAGTTATGCATTGCATCTTATGTCTAAATCTTTCTGTTCTGATTATTCATATTATTTGCTATATATATGTGTATATATCTCAAATTGTATATATATTTTTAATTTCTTAGTTGATATAGAAGTACCCTTGGTGGCACAGTACATAATATATTGGGCTCCTAACTGAAAGGTTGATGGGTCCAATCCTCTAGTCATTCTGCACAAGAAAGACACTTTACTATTAAGATTTATAACCTCAGAAACCTGATAAAAAGTTGCTATGAGTTGACATTGACTTGGTGACTTGGTTGGATGGGTTTTTAGTTTAGTCAGTGTAGAGACTTACAGTGTTAGAGAAAGGAATGTGTGAATATACCATGAGGCTATGTGACAGTCCTCAGAGATGAATATTTTATGATGGATCCTGACAAACTCGAGAATGACATTGTGTCCAGGTGATGGCAGCCACATTAGGGAAAGTCTTTATCTTGTTCAGCTCTATAGTCCCTGTGTTTGGTAGTACTTGCACAAGTCAGATACTTGATAATGAGTTATTAGAGGAGGCAATAAGTTGGATATGTGTTTTAACAGAAGTTATTTTTTCTTCTTACTAATAATATGTTTGTTTTACTCTCTGAAATAGTCATTAAAAACTCTAAAAACCCCCCAGCCCTCTAAAGTAAATTATATTCTTCAAATCTTTAATTAATACATGGATTCTTTAATTATGACACTCCTTAAACATTTTTTGCTTAGTATCATACATGTTCAACTCAATTCGTTGTTGAGTTGGAACCTACTCATAGCAAACACACTAATGGATTTTTGGAGACTTTAAATGACACAGGAAGAGATTGCCATCTTTCTCCCTCGAAGCTGGTAAATTCTAACCGTCAGAGAGGCTTGGGCTATTGGTAGGCAGCACAGCTCCATGTGGTGTTAATCACCTGACCTTTTTGCCTAAAGCTTATATATACTTTAAAAATTTCTGCCTTCAGAATTATGGTAGCCTGTGGAAAAAATAAAAGTTACAGTCTTTATATGTGTTAAGTAGTCTATCTTTGTGCTTGATGATTAGCCTATAAGATTTAATTTTCAGAAAGAAGTCATTTTTATTTGTTGTATATATGTGTTTATGAAAATGTAACTTGTAAATGTTAGGATTTAATTTTAAGGTGTACTTTTAGGTGGATGATGAAGATTTACAAGATGAACCTCTACAGATCACAGTCCTTGACCATGATACTTACAGTGCAAATGATGCCATTGGTAAAGTGTACATTGATATTGATCCTTTACTCTATAGTGAAGCTGCAACAGTCATCTCAGGATGGTTTCCAATTTATGACACTATACATGGTAAGGAATAATGTTTTAGTAAATATATAAAAAAATTTTAAAAATCCTTCCTTAAAATTTTTTTTGATGTCATATGTTGGTGATCTCAATAATTTTTGAGATTGTAAAAAGGGATCTTGCAACTAGAAAATATAAAAACTACTGCTGTAAAATGATAAATATCTTTATATTAACTAGTGGACTCATTGTTTACTAGCCTATGGCTTTTCTCTCTAGCCTTGAGTCTTCCTCCTCTTGTACTTTTTTGATCTGGCTGTTTCATGGTTAGTAGTTAATTAAAAGTAGATAAGATGTTTGCTCAGGTTTTCCTACAAGCATGTATACTGGAATGTTATATAAATTTCTGTATTTTATAATTACAAAAGAAGTTAAAAAATAAGGTGTAGTTGATTAGAAACATATGGATAGTTGCAGTTCAAATCTGCCAAAATGCTTTGTGGAGAAAGTTGGGTAATTAACTCCTGCGAGATTTACTGCCTGTGAAAACCTGCTGGAGGGTCAGCTGTGTGTTGGTCCCGACTTAACAGTACACAAGAACAACATGGGCAGTACAGTAGTTTTAAGAGGAAAAAGTATGTGTTTTTTTTTTAAAAAAACACATTTAATCTGAACCTGTGAATATGTGCCATCATTGGAAAAACTGATTATCTGATAAAATGTATATCTCTGGATAATTTAATTTTGAATAATACTCTTCTACTTTTTACATCTTTCCTGTAATATACATGTATTTTATATATAATCCGGAAAGAAAATAGGGTCAAATCTTACATTATCAATCAAAAAGCCCACTGAAGAACATATTTGGGCTTCAATTAAAGGGAGAATGAATTTTCCAAACGTTTTATGTTAAATAAACTGTGGCAGTGGTTTGATTCTTGGCTGCTTACCAAAGGGTCAACAGCTTGAACTGATTATTGGTGCTACAGGAGAAAGCATTTGTTGATCAATTTCTAATAAAGATTACTGCCTAGGAAGCCTTATAGTGCACTCCGTCCTATAAGACCACTGACCTGGAAAGAACATGAGGGCACACAGCTACAACACTGCTGACAACTAACCACTACAGCGTATTTTAATATGTTTACAGGCCCTTTATTAAGGAGAGTATTTTTCTTTTAATAGGTAAATTAATAAGTCTCCATTCTTGTAAGATGAAGTGTGAGTTTAAAGTGCAATCAGAATAGCCAAGTGAAAATATTTAGTAAATGTTTAGAGATAAGGTCTGAATCATTCTTATTTATGTTATAAAACATTTTTTCTTTTAGTTTCTTAGTGTTTTAGTTTTTGTTCATGGGAATAAAACATTTTTAAAAAATTATTTTGATTTGAGTAATGTTTATAGAACAAACTGTGATAGTTTTAGTCAACAGTTCATACGTACTGTGTTTCATGATGTTGATTTTAGTCCTTATGCTATAGCAGCACTCTTCCTCCTTTCTTCTCTGTTTCCCAATTTTATCCATCCTTTCCCTGTATCTTTTTGTGCTTTTGGAGCTCTATCCCTTGACTAGTTCTGCATTTTATTATCTTGCATGGATGAGCTAAGTAGTGTGTTCTTCCTCGGTGTAACTGATCACCTTATACACCTGTTTCTTGTTTGACTGGAAGGTAGGTCATGGATGATCAGTTTTAGACTTGACCGGTTACTACAGATCATAGTCTTAGTGCTTCCATCAATCTCTGGTGGCCTAGTGGTAAGAAGCTGTGCTGCAATCACAAAAGCACATGGCTCAGTTGGAGGAGGATGGACAGTCTTCCCATGCATTTACAGCCTCTGAAAACCTGCTGGAGGGAGAACTATGAGTCGGTTCTAACTTGATGGCACATACCAATATGACTCTCAGACCAGTAGGCCTGGTTGGTTTTTTTTTAATTATTTTGAGTTTTATTCCTTATTTTTCTCAGAAGTTTTATATTATAATCCCAGAACAGTGAACAGACTCACAGAGATTGAAGTTACTATGCTCCATGGCTTGACTAAACAGTTTTTCTTCACTCTTTGATACGCACAAGAAGAAACCAGTTATTACACCTTGGATGGTCTTTTTAAGCTTTTAAGAACCCAGTTGCAGCCTATTTATGAGCTTTTAAGCGCATCAGTGTAGCATACAACATTGTCTGTGGACCAGTTGATCTTCATGGCCTCCAACACTGTGGTCTTGAGTTCTCAGACTCGGTGACCATCCCCTCAAAGTGCTTATTATGGCTATGACATTTTCATGAGGAAAACCCCTTTGTTTTGTTTAAAATCTATTTTTGTGTTAGATGTTGACATAGTCTCTGGAATCCTAATCTGGTTTTAAGTCCTGACCTTGCCATTTACTGTTTATTCTAAAGAACCTACATAATAAATAAACTATACACTGTATTAGCTTTTACTAAAATGAGTATGTTAATACTATAGAAAGTATCTAATTAGGTTGATGTGAGCATTATGAAACATTAAATGTACTACCTTTTCTGTATTTCAAACCTATTGTTTCTAAAATGACCAGCCACTATTATCAGTTTAAATGGGGCTTCTTTTCCATTGGTGAGGCACTGAATTAAATGAAGTGGCAACTTGTGGTAAAAATTAAAATTCCTTAATTTCTAATAGACACAGGTCTGTTTTAGAAAAGATAATAAAATACTAACCTTAATAAGAAATTAGGAAACAAAGTTAGTAGTGCTATTGTGCTTGGTAGATGACTTTAAAAATCAGTGATTGGAATTTATTTGTCTAAGTTTTTCCTTTTACATTATTTTTCCAAGGTAGAAACTTGTTTTTTCCTTTTGATTTTATAGGTATTCGTGGGGAAATCAACGTAGTTGTCAAAGTAGATCTCTTTAATGACTTAAACCGATTTAGACAGTCATCATGTGGAGTCAAATTCTTTTGCAGTAAGTAAATGTATTTTATTATCTTTTTAATGGAACTTTAAAAATGACTAAATATAAGTCTAAGACTAATAATATCTATAATGATTATTTAAAATCAAACAGAAAATCACTAATTTTTAAGAGATTGTTACTTTAGGTCTGGGGAAATATTTCTTTTAACATGAGAATATATTGCATCTAACTTTTTCACAACTTTGTTAAATTTTTGTTTGACAATATAGTTACCTAGTAATGTTTTATACTTAAAAATAACAGTAGAACACTTTAGCAAGCACAGTGCTTCTATGCCACATTACATAGGCTTTTACAGGTTTGGAGCATTCTCAATGAAATATGGATCTAAATTGTACAAACCTTTGCAAGCCAGCCAGCCTGGATTAGTAAAGTGGAAAACTACTAAATTGTTGAGTTAGCTTTAAGCCTCACCATTATTTTAAAATACTTGGTTGGAGAGGAGCTATTTAAACAAGTGACTTTTCCCTTGCTTATTAGTGTTTTAAGAGACGAGTGCATTGGTAGTTTCAGATTCGGCCCCTTTTCTCATTCAGTCCTTTTTTAATCCGCTCAGATTTTATTTAAAACTCGTGATATTTGATGTTCAAGATATTAAATAATACAACAATAAATGAACCAGTTAGTCTTATGACCAGAAGTTTTAGAAACAAAAAAAACTACAAAATGAGCCTGCAAAACTTTTCGGAGGCAAACCTTGCTGGATGCTTTGGATTTGACTGCTAAACTGAAACCAGGACTTTTACTTACTAGGGAATTGTGTTTTTCTGTGAATCTGGCTTGAGACTGCTGGACTAAATCTGCATTGATATTGTGAGATATTCGTTGCCTTTCTCACTCCCCCAGTCTTGGTACCACAACTGTGAATAATGTCTGTGCATCAACAATGAATATCAAACCCAGAGTTTGGTGGAAATAGGTACAGGAGCATGGGCTGGTGTTTCTCACTTAGCAGCTAGCTAGCTATTTGCTGCTATGGATATTATTGATGGGAAAGCTCCCTTGTATGAAGTGGGTGAAAATCATACTTGGCCTCCACCACCGTTCTTCTCTTTCTTTTGCAGCTGCTAGCTGAAAGGTCAGTAGTTTGAATCCTTTAGCCATTTTGGAAGAGAGAAACGGGCAGTCTCCCCTCCCATAAACATTTAAAGCTTCAGAAACCTGATGGAGAGTTGACTCAGTGGCAGTGGGAATTTTTTGATGGAGGGAGTGGCAAGGAGATATAAGGTACCCTGTTGGTATCATGAGTAACAAATTGGGCTGCTAATCAAAAGATTGGCAGTTTGAACTCACCACCTGCTCCTATACGAGAAAGTGACTGTCTCCTCTCTTTAGTATTTATATCCTCAGAAATCCAGTGGAAGATTGATGTGAGTCAGAATGGGCTGGGTGGTACTGTGTTTTAGGTATACAGTATACAAAGGAATTTCTCCATTGAACTTTAAGAATTAATTAAAGATATTTTTTTTCATTATCTGCTTCTGCCTATATATATGCAAATAGTCACCTTGCTGACCTTATTGTGAATTTTAAAATTTTGTATTGCATGCTGTCTAATAAAGTCTACTATAGTAATTTCCTAAATGGTAAAAAATTATGTTCATTCTGCTTATGGAGCTCGGGTGGTGTAGTTCATAGCAAGATGCACAGCTAAGCCTTTCTGCAGTTTGAATCCACCAGCAACTCTATGGGAGAAAGATAGGCAATCTCTTCTTGTACAGTTTACAGCCTTGGCAACCCAGTGGAGGGACAGTTGTGAGTTGGTTCTGGCTTAACAGAAATGCATTATTTTTTAGGGATGTTACATGAAAAGGGTGAAATAGTTAATTTGTTGTAATAATTCATTTGTTTTAACAGCAACATCTATTCCAAAGTGCTATAGAGCTGTGATAATTCATGGATTTGTTGAAGAACTTGTGGTCAATGAAGACCCAGAGTATCAATGGATTGATCGAATTCGTACCCCAAGGGCATCAAATGAAGCCAGGCAGAGGCTCATTTCTTTAATGTCAGGTATTTTTTTAAAAACAATTTCATGATTGATTGATAAAGTACTCTTAAAGATATGTATAAAGAATTATGTTAATTTTATTTTATTTTTGTTTAGAGCGGTAGTTCCCTGTGGTTTGTGGAACTCTTTTCCAGTTTGTTATAATATGTACACTGCAGAGAAAGACCTTTATGTTTAATGTGTTTGTGAAGTGAACATCTCCATTTCTAGAGATTTTAATATGTTAAAAGCCCTGAATGGTTCTGCAGGTTATCAGCTTTTTAACTTTAACTCTCACTACGTCCTAAACTTAGTTGAACACAGTACATTTTTTATTTGTGCATTTAGAAGGTACCTAAGAAGTATTTACTAAAGGAATGAAACATTTTAAACCACTTTTTTTGGTGATTTTGAAATTAGTTGGAGAGATTACTGTAATGCATACTAATACTCTCTTATGGAAAAGACTTGCTACATACTTTAAATAATAAAAAGTGTCACTTAAAAACTGGAATTTTCACTCAAGTACTTTTTTCTTAATGAAACTTTCATATATTTTTATGTTTTTTTCCCCAAATATTATCGTTTACTTCATATTAAAATTTAATGAGTCCCTTTAGGAAAGAGTTTTGTTTCAAAAGCTTATTTAAAAATGTATTTATTTCGTGTCAAACACGACTCATAGTGACCCTAAGAGAACAAAAGACCTGAACACATTTCTAGTTCAGAGTTTCCAGAGGCATGTTGCTTAGGAAATGGATACATTGGTTTCTTTATTTTGCTTGGAGTTCTGGGTAAGGTACCAGTGATAAATGTGCTCAAATCTTAATCATAAGATTGGCAGTTCCAGTCCACATAGAGGCAGTTTGGAAGAAAAACTTGATTCTAAGAAATTGGGCATTGAAAACCCTATGTAGCACAGCCCTCCTTTGACACGCATGAGGTTGCCAGGAGTCAGACTTGGATCGATGGCAGTTTGCTATTTATTAAATGTGTACAAACTCTGTATATTATAAAAGCATCTTATAAAGTGTATAAAAGTTCTTCTAGAAATACAATTTTATGTTTATATACGTTAATAAAATAGAAAAACCTTTAAAGTACATGTTAAATGGATTATTTTTATGAAATGCAGTTAACATGGACAAAATAAATTATAGAAAGATAAACACTGCTTTCTGCACTTTTCATAATGGAAGTGGTCTAAAGTTCTTTGATTTTAACTTCATTTATAAGAAAAGGTAAATAATGCAAACATTAGATTATTTTTATATCAATTTGTGTATATGTGTGCATGTTTATTCATTTAATAGTTGTTGGTAGGGGAGCTCTGGTGGCCTATTGGATAAAAAGTTGTTCTGCCACATTGTTTTGAATCCACCAGCTGCTCTGAGTCAGAAAGATGACCACTTTTCTCCCATGCAGTTTCCTGCCTCTAAAAACTCACTGGCATCTGATCTGTCAAAGTTGTGTCCTGCTTTGTAGTACATAACAGAAGGAATTATGCAAGTCACATTCCATAGGAGACTACTAACAATCTAGAATAAAGAGCTAAGAGACTTACTGGAGAAATAGAATTTTAAAGCATCTCCAGTATTTTCTGTTTACGATACTGCCAGATTACTTCTTTTAGATTTTAGTAAGGAAAACTTAATTTGTCTAGAAAGAAGATGAGGGGGAATAGTGTGTATAAATTTTAGAAATGAATCCTTGAAATTTGAAAAATGCCACATTTGACTAAATTCAGTAGTTCGTATGTTCTCGACAGCTGAGTTACATATGTAACTAAAGAAGTTTTTTTAAAAAGAAACTACATTGTTGCCCCCTTTATACTGTGTAAATAAGCATAAAATAAAGCATGGTAAGTCATGGAAAGCAAACAAGTCTTGTCTCCAACTCATTGCTGCTGAGTTAGACTGACTTGTAGCTGATTCTCCAGCAGTTTTTCTGAAGCTTTTCTAAATTGCATGGGAGGAGATTGCTCATCTGCTTCCCACAGAGCAGCTGGTGGATTCTAAATTGCCAGAGACATGGCCTCTGAATTAGCAGCTCAGCTACAAATTGTGTCACAGATCTCCCTAACAGAGACATAAAATTGGAAATGAAGTACTAAGCAAATTTGGGAAAATATTCTATGCTAAGATTGGAAAAAAGATAGAAATGGAGAAAACATTGTGATGATGATGTTGTTGTTAAATGCTGTTGTGTCGCGGGCGACTCATAGCGATCCTATGAACGAAAGACCTGGGCACCTGTATAACTTTCGTCCTTTCTCCAGGTTGATAGGGTTTCCAGAGGCAAGCTACTGTGGAAGTGGATGCCACTCTTGCTTCCAAGCTTGTTTTAATCAGGAGCTTCACCAAACACTGTCCGCCATAGGTAACCATTCTCGCATTGACTCATCAGTGTCACAGTGTTTGTCTTCAGAGCAACCACGAGTTACCTCTGTACAGCAAGTGGACATTCCAGGGTTATACAACCTAGAAGAATGTTTCACCAAAAACAATTAAAGGCAGGCCTGAGGGTCGCAGAGTAGAGTCACCCACCTTTGGCTTGGGAAAATGGCTTTCTGTCTGTTAGGCCAACTGCTTTTTCTCTGTCTCTTTCCCTATACTGTTATACTTTCTACATTACTGAAAATCCACCCGACACTAATGAGCTTATGTTCAGGCCTGTCATAGATTTGTCAGTGACTTTGTAAAATGATTTAAGCCTATTGGGAAATAATCTGTCTTAAGAGCTATAATAATTTTCATGCAGTTTGACCTAATTATTTCCATTCCTGGGAATTCCTCTTAATAAGGTAAATCAGTAACAGAAAAACAACACTAAGTTATTTCTAACAGTTATGTCTTACTTATAATAGTACTACTGTAGAAAAAAATTAAATATTTTCCACAGCAGGCAGGAGAATGGTTAAATAAATCAGCTTAATGTATTGTTAGTAACCTTAAAGTGAATATTTATGAAGACCATGTGAAACAAAAAGTGGTCTGGAATCAATTGCTAGAAGCAGAATATAAAAATTCGTGTAAAGCAAGCTTATTTTAGCAAAATTTTAAAAATGTACATTAAAAAGTTTTATCATTAAATAAAACTATCTTTTTATATTACTATTATTGTTGTTATTGTTGTTGTTATGTGCCATCGAGTTGCTTGTAACTCATAGTGACCCTGTGTACACTATCCCTGAGCTCTGCTCTGTCCTGTGCCGATCACACCGTCTCCGACACACCCATCCCGATTATCCCAGTCACTGAATCAATCCACCTCATAGGGGGCCTTCCCCTTCTGCGCTGTTCCTCCACCCTACCAAGCATGATGTCCCTCTCTAAGGACCGGTCTCTCCTCACAACATGTCCAAAGTATGAGAGACGGAGCCTCAGAATCCTTGCCTCCAAGGAGCAGCCTTGTTTGACCCTTTCCAGGACGAATCTATTTGTTTTCCTAGTCGTCCATGGTACCCTCAATAACTCTTCTCCAGCACCACAGCTCAAAGGCATCAATTCTCCTTCTATCCTCCTTAGTCATTGTCCAACTCTCTGATGCATAACAAGTGATGGCAAAGACCATGGCCTGTATCAGACGCACCTTAGTCTCCAGAGAGATGCCATTGCTCTTCAGTACTTTGGAGAGGTCCCTAACAGCAGACTTACCCATGGCAATACGTCTTCTAATTTCCTGGCTGCTGGTACCAAGAGTGGTGACTGTAGAGCCAAGCAAACTAAAGCTGTGAACACTCTCAATCTCTTAACCATCCATCCTGATGCTGCCAATTGGCCCAGAGGTGAGAATCTTTGTCTTCTTGACATTGAGCCTCAATCCATATTGAAGGCTGCAGTCCTTGACCCTCTGCAGCAAGCACTTCAGGTCCTCCTCAGTTTCAGCAAGCAAGGTTGTATCATCTGCACATGACAGATTGTTGCTAGATCTTCCACCAGCCTTGACCCCACATTTCTCCTCATAGGGCTCAGCCTCCCGGATAATTTGTTTTGCATACAAGTTGAAAAGGTGTGGAGACAGGACACATACCTGGCGTCCGCCCTTCCCAATTTTGAACCATCATTATTATTTTTAAATTATTTTAAAATGTTTTATTTTACATTTATAAGCACCCACCCTACACTTTCATCTGCATGGTTTTATCTTAGTAACCTGGTGCGTTTGGCAGAAGAATGTTTAAATCTATTTTAGAGTTAGGGAGCCTAGTGACTTAGTAGGCAGTTGCGCTGTCAACCCAAAGGTAGCTCTCATTTCAGAGCCGTCAGCAACTTTGCCAGAGAAAGATAGGCATTCTCCTCCTGTGTGATTTATAGCCTAAAAACCTGCTGGCATGTCAGTTGTAAGTTGGCTCTGACTTGACAGTAGTGAGTGAGTGAGAGTTTTTAATAATTGAGGAGATTAAGTGACATTTATATTTATGCATCTGCTACATTATGGAATACCAAACTCTTACAAGCTTACCTTGGTACACGTCCTAGTGTGTTTTGAAGCCTGTGTTTGTGACTGCACATATGTAAATGAAATGTGACATTGAGGCTTATCTCTTAAGAGGAAAATCCCCATCCAAATACAGGTAAAAGAAATACACAGTTGGTGTACTATTATTGTCATTGAGATTTCCCTGTATATAGATAGGTCTGCAAAAGAACTGCTCTATGTAGTGAAGATCGCTGTGAATAGTGTAAAAGATATTCAGTCTGTTGATTTGGAGGTTGAAGATTGAATATAGATGACCATAAGTGAATGGACTTTCTCCTCTACAGTTGATGTCTTAGACCCAAGTGTAAAGCAAACCTTTTTATTGTTGAGTGCAGTCTAGTTGAGTACAACTTATAGTAGCCTTGTGAGCAATAGATCTGAATGTTGGCCTGTACCATCCTCATAATTTCTGACATACTTAAACCCTTTACAGCAGTCATTGTGTCAGTCCATTTGGTTGAGGGTATTACTCTCTTTCATTTACACTCCTCACCTTTCCAAGCATGATTTCCCTCTCCAGGGAGTAACTTCTCCTTATAAT